CCCCCCCCCCCCCCCCCCATTTCCGTCAATCTCATCTCAGCCCCTCCAAGCTCCGGCTAATCTCTCAACTGATTTTCTTAGTTTACTCAAACTCCCAGAATTCCAACAAATTGTCGCGAATTTCCTGGGCAAACATTCAAATATTGAAAAAGGGGAGTCTCATCCATCCGTCACCATAAAGACGACCAGTCACAACGACACAAATTCAGATTCGCGGCCGATTTTTGGGAATTTGGCGCCGGAGAAGATAATATCTGGTGCAAGAAGATGTCATCCCATCGAGAAGCCTTTGGTCAGAATCAGTGGTTTGGAAGAAGGGGAAATCACTCCTTCAGTTGGATGTTCTCCGAGACCTGTTCCTTACAGTCGGAGCTTCCGCCTTTGAATTTGCCGTCGGTCATTCAAAACGCCACTTTGAAAAGCGGCGAAACACAAGCCGAAAACCCTCAGCTCATCATTGAAGGTGACAAAATCACATCCCTACACGTGGCGAACCAATCTCCCATTGGGCCAAAAAACCACATTCTGCTTGGGCCTAATCCGCAGGTACCATTTCCCAATTTCGCTGAACCTCTCAATCAACAGACGGGCCCATTACCTCTTTCTACCTCAACCCCCATTTTTCAGCCCGCCTCAACTCCCTCGTCCCAAAATCAGCCCATCAAACCAAAATCCCAGCCCACGGGACATAAGCCCACCTCCATACTTAATCACCCCACACAGCCCGCCATCACCCAAACACCTCCTCAGGCAGCCTCCCTTGCCGTCACCACCACCAAGCCATCTGACACAGGCCACCGGAATGTCGCAGACGCCGGTGCATCCGCGACCACCGGAAAAAGTCTGTCGGCCGCCTATAAACCGAGGGATGTCTCGGAAGCTTCACTTACGGCCGGAATTCTCAGACCTCAGCCTATGTCACCTCCTCCGTCCGATCAACTCGCCGGAATTACCTCCGCTGCTGTCGGGAAACATGAATCGGACGTATTATATGTGCGTGAAGACGGAGTAGTTACCGCGGGTCCGAACTCGTCGACCGCAATTCATTTTTCCGGACATTCCCCGAATGGGCCTCCTCCGACGGGCGCCTCATCGGCCAACCCTACTGCAGCCGGACCAATTCCGGCCACCTCCAATGGCCCGATTTCCTTCCGGGATGCTATTACCGGGAGGAGAGATGGCGGCTCAAATACCCCGCGGCCGGCAACAAAGGAGTTTATCTTTGACGGGGACTATGACCACGCTTGCGGGACCATCATCCGCTCGGAGGGGAACAAAGTGAAGGTCCGATTCTCACAGGCCGAAGCTGACACCCTCGCAGGTAAGTTAGCGAACACACTGGTCTTTAAGTTCACCTACGCTATCCCTCCCCCCCGAGACTTAGCTGCTGGATTAGGAAAATTGGGATTTAAGGGTAGGTTCTCTTTTAAGTGGTATAACTTCAATCATCTTCTAGTCTCTTTTAACCTCCCCGAAGATTATAATGAGGCATGGCTTAGGACTTCTATTTCTGTGTGTGGATGCCCAGCTAGGGTATTCAAGTACACTTCCGGGTTCAACCCGAAGACGGAGACGCCGGTCGTCCCCGTGTGGTGCCGCCTCCCCGGCCTTCCACCACATCTGTATGACCGGGATTCCATAACTACACTTGCTAAGTGTGTCGGAAAACCGGTCTGCATTGATGCCCCGACTGCTCTC